GTCAGCCTTCCTGCTCCTATGGTGCTGCTTGGCCTGCTGTGTTCATCCAGCTCTACACCTTGTTATCACAGGTAGACCGGTTGGTTAAGAAGACATTGCTCAGACCTTTTGAGTATAGGAGTTGAAACATCATGTTGAGATTGTATAGGACATTGTGAGGCCTGTTCTGAAGTACTGAGTGTAGTTCTGGTCGCCCTATTTTAGGAAGGACATTATTAACTTGGACAGGGTTCAGAAAAGATTTACCAGGATGTTGCTGGGAATGGAGGATTTGTGTTATAAAAATAGGCGAGATAGGCTGGAACAAAGGAGGTTGAGGGTTGACCTTATAGAGGTTTATAAAATCATGAAGGGCATAGATAAAGTGAGCAGCAAAGGTCTTTCCCCAAGGGTTGAGTAGTTCAAAACTAGACGACATATTTTTAAGGTGAGAGGGCAAGAATTTAGAAAGGACACAAGGGGAAACTTTTTTTACAGAGTGGTTCGTGTCTGTAATGAACTGTCAGAGGAAGTGCTGGATGCAGGTACAGTTACAACATATAAAAGACATTTAGTCATAAGTACATGGATAGGAAAGGTTTAGAGAGATATGGGCCAAATGCAGGCAGGTCGGATTAGTTTGGGGACATGGTCGGTATTGACTAGTTGGACTGAAGGGTCTGTTTCCATGGTGTATGACCCTATGACTCTAATTTATGCTTATTAGTATTGAGTTTCTGCTTTTTACTTTAGCCCTTAGCTGTTCATATTTCTGATGCAGAACCTCTTTGTCAGTTCTCCCCAATTTGTTGGTGTATATGTGGTCCATGACCACTGCATGCTCCCCTTCTCATGGCTACTTCCTCTCCACCTCAGAGCAGATGTCCCAAACCCTGACACCAGGCAGGCAGCACAGCTGTCTGGATTCTTACTCTCAGCTGCAGAGAACTGTGTCAAATACCTCACCCTTCAACAATACTGTTTCTTAATCTCACTATCAACAGATGGTACAGATCATAGATCATAGAATCCCTACAGTGTGGAAGCAGGCCCTTCGGCCCAACAAGTCCGCACCGACCCTCAGAGCATCCCACCCAGGCCCAGTCCCCTATAACCCCCCTAATCTACACATCCCTGAACACCATCGGCAATTTAGCATGGCCAATCCACCTAACCTGCACATCTTTGGACTGTGGGAGGAAACTGGAGCACCCGGAGGAAACCCACGCTGACACAGGGAAAATGTGCAAACTCCACACAAACAGTAGCGGAGGGTGGAATCGAACCCGGGTTCCTGGCACTGTGAGGCAGCAGTGCTAACCACTGAGCCTACAACATTACGGTGAATATGAGGATGATGAACGAATTGCAGCATGAAAATGTGTTGGATCAATGGGATGATAGATTCCACAAGTGCACTTTCCAAGACCAATGACTCACAAATGCTTATTTACACTACACTGATTTATGTAGTGACAATCCTTGCTGTGTTTATTTAACTGAAGCTTGGAAAGATTGTGTGATTAAACTTGTTTGCTGTTCTTTTTTGTTGCTTATTACCCCTCCACTAAGATATTATCCAATTTTTCTTTCTCTGACTTTGTTCTCTTGATGTTCTCCATGTTCTACATCCACTCCTATCTCAAGTGTACTCCTCTGTTGAGAGAGCAAATGCGGAATGGAGGTTTTAAGCTTATGGCCAGAGTCAATCCCATTATTGGCTTCCTGCAAGAAGCTTGTATGAATGAGGAGTTTGTTTACTTATTGTGGTTCAGCGTGGGGACAAGGCAGCCTACTTCATCCTTTTTATGTATTTTTTAATAAAAAAACTGCAATGAAGAAGAAAACAATATTTTCAACCAACATGAATAATTATAAATAATTGGTAATAAAGCAAAGACAGTGAAGATTAAAGAACATTTGCAAGACATCTTTTCAGTGTTTATTTGCAGTTTCCACAGATAAATGAGAACGGAATTGTTTGTAGGCGCATCGATCTCAGTAGAAAACAGCTAGTTTTTCTTTTAAACAAAAGGTTAGAGTTGCAATCAGACACAGCATTGGATTTTAGAAAAATGTGCCCATCAGGGGAGCTTTGATAACTTTAATAATAATATCACTTATGGTCAGCTGTAGACACGAGACATTATTGGAAAGCTGCAGACAGACAATGCAAAGTTACTGAACTGAGGAAACATTTCATTTCATGGTCTTGCGTTTAGTAAAACATCTGGAATAAGTTGCTTATGGAATTGGCCTGAATTTAGAATTAGAACTAAAAGTGACATGAAACTGTCAGTATTCTTCATTACACCTCTGAAAATGACAATGTTTTCTGGGTTCACACAGGTGCAGTTAACTACAAAAGAGATTGTTGTCAGTCCTATGCTTTACCATTGGGTGTGCTGCTGGGGTTTCTGTATACTGTAATCAATTAGAAATCACTGAACTGATGAGAACTTTGTCTTTTGTGCCGAAATATTACTGTTTCAAAATAAAGCCTGAAAACACATTAATAATGAAGTCTAACTGGGATTTAACAGTGTACAATGTCAGAATGACTTGGTGAACCTCTTTGGTCTTAGGAACACAAATATAAAATTAGTTTTCGTTGATTTTTCCATTTTATTAAAAAGCAAGGTTTTTTGATGTTTTTAAGTTTAATACCTAATTATCTAGTATTTATGCCCCTGCTGTTTTATTTTAAAGGAGTATTTACAAAATAAGTGACAAATAATCCATATTTAATTTTCTGGCTGATAGACTGAGAATCTTTTCACATAATAGCTTATCCTGCAAGGTGCCTGGAGAGCCCTTGAGATTTTTTTCTTTATTTTCATTCATGAGATGTGGGCATCTTTGGCTAGACCCGTATATATTGTTCACCTCTAATTGCCCTTGAGAATTTGGTGATGAGCTGCCATTTTGAACCATTGCAGTGAATGTGGTGATGGTACATCCACAGTGCTGTTCAGAAGAGAAATACATAATAGCAGATTCAAACAAAGATTGAGAAAGGAAGGGTCCATGCAGAGTGCTGGGCAGATGTTTGTTGGCAGCGTTGATCAGTATCATTTCATCGCTGTTTGCAAAATCTGAACCAGCATCAGTGTTGTTAGTGACCGTATACATTGAGTATTATCCCTCCTGTTTCCTTCTTGATACTCCTGACCACCACTACTTTTGCAACACTTGCTGGTCTTCCAAGTTCTATTCTAGAGAAATTCTTAGCATCCTGAAATTCTATCAAGCAGAATTTGACTGCCTGGATTTTATCTACACTTTGAGCTTAGATGTCATAATGAACCCATATCTGCACACTCAGCTGGATCTTAAAGCACTCGTAGCACTATTTTGATAGAGAGCATATTATTTTTTAATATTGATCCCAACATCACAAAAAAAACAGATTAGCTGGTCATTACCACACTGCTGTTTCTGGAATCTTGCTGTGCACAAATTGGCTGCCTTGTTTGCTACATTACCAGAGCAGTTCCACAATCAATTAAATACTTTCCAGTAAAATGTTTCGAGGCATTGAGTGGTTGTGAAAGATGCTGTATGAAATGTCTGTTTTAACTCCCACTCTTACTTTGCCACAGTCGTTGCTGACCTTCATTACCCTTACATTCTTTAGCGTATCAACTTTAATGACAAATTTCTCCATTGATTCACTCCTCCCTACATCTCCAATATTGCACCCTGGCCTGCAATCATTGAGGAGTTCAATGTACATGTTTATTTGTTTTTCCATCTCTTTCGCGCTCTCTCTATCTCATCTCTTCCCCTCCCCGCTCCCAAGGACCTCCATAACAATTCCCTTTTCTTTGACCCAGCTTTCAGTCATTCTAATGGTTTCTTTAGTTCATTATTGACTTTGCCTGATTCTGCAGCTTTGAAACGTGTTGAAATTTTCTATCTATGTTAATTGCTACAGATGCAAGTTGTTGTGACATTTTCTCATTTGTAATTTGTAATTAATTTTGCAGGTTACTTAAGTAATGGCCCAAGGTATTTGTTTGTAGTAATTGTTTTCATTACCTTCCTTTTAGACTTGTGTCTCCTGAGCCACCTCCAAAAGGATTTCTCGTAATGGGCTCAAAGTTCCGTTATAGTGGCCGTACACAGGCTCAAACTAGGCAAGCCAGTGCTTTAATTGATCGGCCTGCACCCTATTTTGAACGCTCCTCAAGCAAAAGATATACAATGTCAAGGAGTCTAGATGGAGGTATGATTTTTATCTGATGTTTGGGCTGTGCCATCTGCAGTATTTATCATGAGTGCCATAAAGAAAATCTATTGAGTCTACACTACAACTGTGCACTGCATAAACTGGTGGTGAGTTTGAGAAATTTGTCCATGAGAAAACCATTAAGCTTACAATATCTGTTGTGCCACCTCCTGCACCAGAGCGATGTGCATTTCTTTCATTCATTGCTTTGATTCCCCTTTCCTTTTCTTCCTCACTGTTCATGACAAAGAAGTAAAATAGGAAACCATGAAGTGCATTTTTGTTCCCTAAAAAAGGACGTCTTCCTAAATGTGAAGTGCTGCAGTATAAATAATTAAAATAAACTCAAAAAGACATAATGTTCTGAATCACTGAGCTAGATTAGATTTTCTGGTGTAAGAGTACATTCTGCTTTAAATGCTTGATGATACTTTTCTTTCAAATGATTCACCATTGTTTTGTGACTGAGTATTTTTGAAGACAATTAAGAAATGTCTAGATAATGTTTAGTCGTGCAATTGACTTGACATGGTACATTTAAAGCATGATTTTTCCAGCCATGAATGAAGATGGAAGTTCAACAGTTGCAAGTAAATGACAAAAAAGGCATGAAAGACAGATCAAATGGAACAATCATTTTCAGAATTCCCAATTCATTTCAGCACAGTAGGTGGAAGGGGTAAAAATCAAAAGGAAATGATACTTTCAGCACCTCCTTTATGCAGCCCCATCCCCTGTTTTAGCCATTTTACTTAAAATGATATGCAAACTGGAAAGGTCTGAATAGGACACAAAATTTGCATTGAGGCAAAATGTATTTGAATAAAGAATCACATTTTTGTCACAATGAAAACTGATGACGAAAGAAGAAATTGTTAATGTTGATCCTGAAATACAGATGCCACTGACAATGACACAAATTTGATTGTTCTGAGAACTGTTATAAAGCTGTAATACAAGTTACTACAGTATAGACAGTAACCATTTTCTCATTTGAAGCTTTATCAGTTATTTAAACTGTTTATTATCAAATATCCACAGTGGCCTGACAACTTGTGAATTTACAGAAGCTTGATTTAACATTCAAAATAAATATTTAACTATTATGCTATGTTCTTCACCTTGTTAGTATAACAAGTGTATACATCTGTAGTGTTTCATAATGTAGTGCAATAACATGCAGTGCAGTGTTTTATTATTCAAAGTTAAACGTAACTTTATAAACGGTGGCTTTCATAAACAGCAAGAGGTACTCTGTATAGTCTAGGATTAATTGTACGAGCTTCATTATTACTAACAATAATTTAACAATATATGATTTAACAATAATATTAATAACTAATTACTAACAAAGGAAATATTGATGTTAACTTAAATATTTCATACTCAAAAATTGTAGCATTAAGAACTGGAGTAGAACATCCAGCCCATTGCGCCTGCTCCACCATTCAATATGATCATGGCTGATCAAACACTTCAACGCCTTTTACTCTCACTATCCCCATAGCCCCTTAGAATCATAAAATCCCTACAGTGGAGAAAGAGGTCATTTGACGCATCAAGTCCACACCAACCCTCTATAGAGCATCCGACCCAGACCCAGACCCCCATCCTATCCCCTTAAACCTGCATTACCTTGACTAATCCCCCTAACCCGCACATCCCTGGATGCTATGGACAATGTAGCGCGGCCGATCCACCTAACATACGCATTTTCTTGGAGCGTGGGAGGAAACCCACGCAGACATGGGAGAATGTGGAAACTCTACAAAGTCACCCAAGGTTGGAATTGAACCTTGGTCCCCAGTGCTGTGTGGCAACAGTGCTAACCACTGAGCCACCATGTCCCCCCCACCCCCAGCCCTGCCCTTTTTAGGCCCTTGGTAATCAAAATTTCTCAATGTCTACATCAAATATACTCTAAACAGGAACTTCCACAGCCCTCTGGGACAGAGAATTCCAAAATTTGCCATTCATTTCTCTTCATATCTGTCCTAAATGGCATTGCCTTTATTTTTAAAGGGCTCTAGATTCCCCCAACTAAGAGACACCTCTTACTTGCATCTACTTTGACTATCCCCATTAAAATTTTGTAGGTTTCAATGAGGGTGGCACGGTGGCACAATGGTTAGCACTGCTGCCTCACAGCGCCAGGGACCCGGGTTTGATTCCAGTCTTGGGTGACTGTCTGTGTCTGTGTGGAGTTTGCACATTCTCCCTGTGTCTGCGTGGGTTTCCTCCCACAGTCCAAAGATGTGCAGGTTAGGTGGATTGGCCATGCTAAATTGTCTGTAGTGTTCAGGGATGTGTAGATTAGGGTTGTAGGGGGATGGGTCTGGGTGGGATGCTCTGAGGTTTGGTGTGGACTTGTTGGGCCGAAGGGCCTGTTTCCACACTGTAGGGATTCTATGAGATCACCTCTCATTCTTTGAAAGCGGAGAAAATGCAGACTCAGTTTGCTAAATTTTTCTTCGCAGGACAGTCCCACCATCCTGGAAACAAGTCTGGTGAACCTTTGTTGCATTCCTTACACGGCAATAATATCCTTCCTGAGATAAGGAAACCCATGCTGTGCACAGTATTCCAGATGCAGTATCACCGAGGTTTTATACAATTGAAGCAAGACTTCACTACTCCTGTACACATCTTATTACAATAAAGGGTTCCATTGGCCTTGCTAAAGGCTTGCTGCACCTACATAAGAGATTTATTGACAAGGACACGCAAGTCTCTTTGCACATCTACACTTTCCAACCTCTCACCATTTGAGAAATACTTCGCAAATTTGTTCTTCCTACCAAAGGGAATAACCTCACATTTTTTCACCTTGTATTCCATCTGCCACATTCTAGCCCAATCACTGAACTTGTCCAAAACCACCTGAAAATGTTTTGCATCTTCCTCTCGACTGATATTCCTGCTTGGCATTGTGTCATTTGCAAATTTGAAAATATCACTTCCGTTCCTAGTTTAAACAATTGGCGTATATTGTGAACAGCTGGGATCAAAGTACTGATCCTTGCCGTACCCCACTAGTCACAGTCTGCCAATTGGGAATGACCCATTTTTTCATACTCTGTTTTCTATCTGTTAGCCAAATCTTTAATCCATGCCAGTACATTACCTCCTATACTATGTGCTTTTGTTTTTCTAACCAATCTTCTAAAATCCAAATATACCACATCCATCAACTCCGCTCAATCAATTTTGATAGTAATATCACCAAAAAGTCCAACTTTGTCAAACATGATTTTCCATTTTCAAATTCATGCTGATTATCCCCAATCAGATCATTATTGTTCAAGTGCTCATTTATCATGTTCTTTATGATAAATTATAGCATTTTCCTTAATACTGATGAAAGATTTTAAACTTTACAGTTTATAATTTTATATTTCCCAGCTTTTTTTTTTCCCCTTTGCTCCTTTCTTAAATAATGGGGTGATATTTGCTAGCTGCCAATCTGCAGGAATTATTCCAAAATGCATAGAATTTTGGAAGATGATTGATCATAAATGTATTTGAGCTTTCAACCTGAATTTTCTAAATAGGTAATGCAGTAAGCACATGAAAACTCCCAATCTTGCAATATCATTGCTATAATTCTGATTATACAAATTCACAATAATTGTGTTCATTTACACACATAAACAACTCCTAGCTGGGAAACGTCAAAGTGCTTTCTTTGTTTTTTTCTCTCTGTCTCTCTGTCTGCATCTCCTACTCTCTCTCTTCGCCCCTCCCTCCCCCATGGCTGTTGTAAGGTGCCCTTTTTGCTGATTCCACATTTCTTGTTAAACTTAGAGATTTGCATCATAGGTTAGATGGCATGAATGGCCTCCTATGTCAGAATTCTGAAATGTATACCCATAATCTTATAACTTCTCACATATCCATCGAATTCACTTATATTTCAAAAGCATGTTGACTTCAATTTAAAAATCGTTATGCATTCTGCATTAAAGAATTTTCAAAGAAGTCATTCCTGTTTTAACAACCCTTTCCAAAAAAACCCTTTAAACATCATTGTTTGTCCTTTTGGTAGGAATGTTAAACTCTGCCATCTATGACTTATGTGAATAACCCTTTCTAAAGCACAAAAGAATGACTGGTTAATGCCTCATCTTGGCAAATGGGGGAATATTACAGATTCAAGCCTGAATAAAATGTGCTCGACCTACAATCAATTCATTGTTTCATAATATTTGAGCATAGTAATGTTAATTTAAAGTGCCCTTACTTTTCACAGGCTGTCATTTTTTATGTGAAATTATAATAGCACAGGTCTAAAATAAACTTGCTGGTTCTGTCAGTAAGATTGTAGGATAGGAAACTTAGAGCATCTCTCTTTTTTTTAAGCCTGGGCTAGTGAATGCTAGGGGCAAGTTGCATTGGTGCTGCTCCCTTGGACTGCTTTTCAAAGAGCACTGTGCAGCAATGAAATATAAAATATTTAAGTATGTATGAGTGATGGTTCTGCAGGGGATATCCAGAGCCAGCATGTTCATATTAGTTCATATATAGCAGTCTAAATTACTTGTTTGATATGTCAAATGGGCTGTACAAATCAAAGAAAGTAATGAAAAGGGAAGAGGGCTGACGGTTATGTAGACAGAATGTAGAAGTTGTGTCTTTTTCACTTGCAGAGAATGTGAAGAAGTGACTTAATGAGAACCTTCAGGACCATGATTTCATTTTATTTATTCAGGAGATATAACCTTTGCTGGCTGGCCCCTTATTGCCTGTAAGGTGGTGGTGAGTTACGTTTTTGAATTAAATGTTGCTAGGAAGGGGGTTCCAAGATTTTGACTAAGCAAAAGTGTAGGAATGGCAATAAATTTTCGAGTGTGGTTGGTGAGTGGTTTGAAGAGAAATTTGCAGAATATAGTATTTCCATGTATTTGTTGCCTTTTGTCCTTTCAGATGATAGCGGTTGCAGGTTTGGAAGATACTGTTTAAGAACCCTGGTGAACTTCTGCAGTGCTTTTTGTAGTTTGTACACATTGCTGCTACGTGTGTAGAGTGCAGGAGAGTCTTTGAATTTAGTGCCAGTCAAGTGGGCTGGTTTGTCCTGGATCGTGTCAAGCTTCTTGAGTGTTGTTGGAACTGCAGGCTTCCAGGCAAATGGGGAGTATTCCATCACAACTGCACTTACGTTCACAGTATTTATAAGGCTAGTCCAGCTCAGTTTGGTTGGTGGAAACTCCTCAGGATGTTGATAGTGGGTGATGCACTGATATAGCCTTTGAATGTCAAAAGGTGCTGGTTAGATTGTCTCTTCCTGCCGAAGGTTATTGCTAGGCACCTGTGGGTGTGAATGTTACTTGGCACTTGTCAGTCCAGGTATTATTGTTCAGGTCTTGCTGTGTTAGGACATGGACTGTGTTTGGGTCTGAATGTCAAGAATGGTGCCGAACATAGATTTAGATGAGGAAAGATATGATGAAACTCAATCATCTCAATCCTGTGCTGTCTTCTTCCTTAATTGCTTGTCAAGCTTCCCCTTGTGTACATGACAGTTTATGAATAAAAATAGTTTTTTACACTGACTAATGAGGTAGTAACAAAAAAAGATAAGATTTGAAACCAAATTCTTCATGGGGGTGATAATTAGAATATGGAATTGTCTACCACTCAACCAGTGTCCGTGAATTCTTTTCACAAGAATTTGGCAGTTGCTTGAAAAATAACATTAATATGAACGTGCAAGAAAGTAAGATTTGGATAAAACATACGTCTATTTCTATCCTATAATATTCAATAATTCTATGAATCAATCTGGTTGGTATATTAGAATTAGTATCAGTTTCACTCTTAAAAATGCAAATACCAGGTTTTACTTTTTCCACAAATTAAATGCAGACTAGGGTTAAATTGCAAACCTGAGTCTTTGTGAATTTGAACTTTATTTACCCTTTAGTCAAACACACACGATTAATCAACAACTCTTATTCCTACTGCTTGGACAATATTACATCAGATGAGCAGCACCAAAACAGGCCATTTACCCAACCAATCTATACTGACATTTAAGTTCCAGTTGAGTCTCCTCCCAGCCCTCCTCATCTAAGTCTATCATTGTAATCCACTGTTCCCACGTCCTTTGTTTGTTTGCTCACTTTATATGCACCTCTACTATTTGCTTCAACCACTGTCTGTGGTAGTAAGTTCCACGTTCTTGCCATTCTTTGAGCAAAGAAGTTTCTTTTAAATTCCCCATAGGATTTGTTGTTAACTTTTTTTTCTGTGGATGGTCTCCAGGTATGATGTTCCCTGCAAAATGGAACATTCTCCATTAAACCTCTTCCTACAATTCAAAACTTCCATTAGTTTATCTGTCTATTATCTGTTTTAAAGAAGGTCAGACATTGTAGAGCTTTGGCTGTAGAAATATTGTTGAAAATGCACTTAATATTGAGTAGTATCAATTAAGTATTGGTTATGCAGGAAGGGGTCATGAAAGAAAACTTGGTCTCATGCCAGAAGCAGAGACATTTGGAGACCCACTGCAATTTAAAGGTTAGGACACATCAATATAAAATTGCCAAACTGTAGCTGTTAATACAGTTTACCAACCTTGGAGAAAATCTGGCACTGATGTGGCATCAACCCATAGGTAAGCTAGTGAGGTAAACTATATAGGAAAGAAGCTGTGAGACAGGTGGAGGAGGAACGTTAGCCTGCATCAGTGCTGTGTAGTTGGGAGGAGCACTGCTGGTGTTCCACATAAAAGTAAGTACTGTGAAAAGTCACCCCACATTTTCAGCAGGGTTTCAGTGATCTCTTTAACGACACTGTAAAACTGAAAAAATCGCATGGAGCTGGAATTACCAACCGTTTCTGGAATGGCTGGGTGGCTAGCGGATTTGCCCCCAGTCTCCTGTTAGCTATGAAAAAGCAATCCCGGAAATTTAAATATGATTCTGTTAGTTGACTTTCAGTGGCCACAAAGTCCACTAAACTGGATGGGACAGGTGATTGCAGTCAGCACTTCAATGCAGGTGTATGATACACATCATTGCCATGCGCATATGCTGTGCTCTCATCCTTCATGAATGTCACTTGCTGCTCTCCCTGTATGTTTGTATCCTGCATCTGGCACTGAGAGTCTATTAAAATAATGTAAACAGTGAGATGAATCAAGGAGATAGTAGGAACTGCAGATGCAGGAGAATCTGAGATAACAAGGTGTAGATGAATCGAGGAGTCTTATTCTAAGGACCTCAGAAGCAACTTGCTATTTTTACACTGACATGTGAAAAGGTTTTGATGGTTAATAAGCCAACCCCCCTTGCAGAAACCCAACAGGAAATAGAGATGAGGGTTTTCAATTTAAGTAAAGGAGTCTAAGCTGACCAGATACTGCTTTGCAACAGCATGTATTGTAAGCAGAGCAGAGTGCAGCTGTAAGGTAACTTGGCTCTGACCAGTGACTGAATGAAGCACTTTATTATTCTTTTAATGAATAATGGGGCTAGTTCACAGAATACTTTCCATTTACAAGTTATTTAACCAGGTGTGTACTACACTGTTTTGGCCTCCCTATCATGTGTTGTTCTTTTGATTTTACTATAAAGCATAGACATTGGTGGAATAAGTACAATACTTGCACTCCTCGCCCAAGCTCAAATTTAGTAAAATATGCTTTTATTGTTCAAAGATTTGAAAATGGCATGTCAAAGATTGGTTGATATTGTCATGACATTTGGAGGAAAGAAAGTCTCCTAGAATAGTTTCATTCTGAATTGGCAACCCATTTGGATGTACGTGGCATGAGCTGTGCCCAATTTATATGCATTTGGCAGTGGAGTCATAAAATAGCCATACAAGCTCTGATTAGCTGCTTTTAGGTGAGCCTTAGAAGTTGGTACACTTGCTGGTGCACCGAGAATTTGAACCTGATCTGAAATTGGCACCTAGCAGCCAATTATTGATTATTTGTTCAAATAATTATTCTTTGAATTGCCCTTCTATCAGATTCATTCCAGTTGCCTGAGACTTTCCTGGAATGTTTTAGAGTATAATGGCCACATTTTACGTCAGATATTCTGACTTGCAGAGTTTTTCCGTCCAGCTTCAGTCGGGGAAAATCACGACGCACTTTTGAAAGAGTCAACGAAAGATGCAAGCGAGACTTCAAGGACAGAGACTCCAGACACAACACAGTCAGACAGCAAGAAATCCTCCCAGAAGTCAGAAAAAACCGAGGAAGTGACCACACCAACAAAAATTAAGGAAATGAAGGTACATGATGTTGAAATGTTAATTTTTTGTACAGATAATCATTTTGTTATTAGTTAACAGTTCACTGTACTTAGTGGGATTATATAGAATTACAAAACAGATTAGTGTCTAGCCTAGTAGAGTAGCATGTTTCTGTAAATAAAGACTTTATCCTATTGTGCCTGATGGAAATTGGACAGCATAATTAAAGACTTTAGATTTGCACGCAGTTAAAGTTGACTGCTGGCTGGGACACTATTCAAACTTAGCTGATTCTGGTGGCATAGCACCACCAAGTATGCTGCCACTAAGAAATATTATCAGGGTGAACAAACTTGGTTTCTTATGGAAGCCCAAAATTGCTCCTGACACAACCTGGATTGCAGCTTCACAAGTGAAAAATCAAGATGTTGGCTGGGAAAGGAAATGGTCAATTCATACTTGTAAGAAATGAGTGATTTTCCAAGATGAGAATGAAGCTGCAATCTTGGAGGTAGTAGGGCGTTCTTTTGTGTTTACACAGTTTGATTTAGAACTGCTTGAAAATGTCACTGATACCAACATATCCCTATTTTTCCATAGCTTGTAGCTGATTCATATAAGTGCAAGGACCCATTAATATTTTCTGTGTGGGCTCGCACACGCATGATAATTGGCCCAGCTTGTGAACTGCGGCCTGCATGGTAACTTCTGATTGCTACATGACTGAGAGACTTAGAGAGGACAATGGTCAATAACAAATGGCATCAAGAAGCCAGAGTTTAAGGGAATACATAGCAGATTGATGAGAGCTTGCTATCTAATATTGTGAGTAAAATGAGCATCAAAGTTAGAGATAGGAAAGAACATTATGAAAAGTTGAATACAGCGTGATCAGCGATTGTAGAGAAGCAATTGCATTCAGGGTTAATACAGGAAAGTTTTTAGTCAGGCCTATGTTTGCAATCTCACATAGATGCTGGATACTGCTGCTGTAGAAACTATGTAGCAGTTGCTGATAGAGCTATTGCTATGCCCATGCATTCATTTATTAATATCCTGTATATTTGATGCATTACAAAAATAAGCAAGACATTTCACTCGCCTTCTGACTGAGATGATTCTGACATCACGGTCATGGAGTAGGGTGAAAATGGATGCATTAGGAGGAGTTTGGAAGCCTGTAGAGATGGAGTCATAGTCACAGAGGTCAACAGCATAGAAAAAGGCCAGTCAGCCTATTGAGCCTGCACCAGTCAAAAACCACCACCTAACTAAGGGAAATTGGCATGGGAACCCTTGGGCAAAGATACAAAGAGTGAGTGAATGTCTCGTCACAGGAACCAGGTATGCCGAATTTTGCAACTGACGTGAAAAGCACTTGTCTCCTTTATTTTATCTCCTCCCCAGACTTGGCTGTTTAGCTTTCCTGAGAGCGAGAAATAGGCCACTTTGCTATTTCTGTTGTAACTAGAAATGGTCAGGTTCTGGTTTTAGTTCAGTTTTTCTCAACACTTTAACCGCTCCCTCACACCACCACCACTTATCCAAAGCCTTATGAGGTTTTAATGAGCCTCATGAGGTTAAAACAGTATACGTTTGTATACCACCTTTGGTGTAATGAAATGTCACAAGATAATTCACAGGAGCATTTCACAACAAAATATGTGATCAAGCCACAGGAGTAGTTATGGATCCAGCGTGGCCTTTGTTGGAATGCAATCAACAACTCCGATTACCAAGCGTTGTTCAATCCAGATAATCAAGTAATACTTTAGATACAAACAAAAAATGTTTCTATAGGCCACAGTAATGTCAGTGCTCATCCTAAAACTTTGTAAATCCATTTCCTAAATAGATGAAAACTATATTGCAGTTTTACAATGTGACCTGTGTCAAAGAGGAGCTTTCCTCCTTCATTCTTCTTGTTGTAGCCTTTGACACTTCCATGCACCACATCTTCCCTCAAGCCTTGCTATTGCTGTCCAGCTGGATGGAACTGCCTTCACCTGATTCCATTCTTAACTATCTAATTGGCCAGAGAATCTCACGTGCAGTTGCTGCTTTTCCTGCTCCAGCTGTAGTATCTCTGGTGTTCTCCAAGCATCTATGCTTGACCATTCCTTTTCCTCACCCACCCACACAGCCCCTCAGCGATAGCACTCAAAAACACAGCATTAGTTTTCTCATAAACACCGATAACACCCAGCTCTACATGACTACCACCCCTTTCCACTTTTCTGCAGTTGCTAAACTATTAAGATGTTTCTCCGACATCTAGTATTGGATATTGAGAAATTTCCTCTGGTTAAGTATTGGAAAGATTGAAGCCATTTCTTAGCTACCTACTCCATCCCTCTCCTTGGCAACTATCTAAGATTAAACAAGACTGTTTGCAACTGGGATACAATAATTGACTTGGAGATACACCTACAATCATATTCAACCTTTTTTCAACTCATCTGCTGTTGAAACCCTCATCCTTGCCATTGTTACTTTTAGATTTCACTATTTGAACACAACCCTGTTGTAAACTTGAAGCGGTCCAAGATGCTACTGTCTGTCTTAAACTGCAGCAAGTTCTGTTAGCTCTGGGCCAAGAAACCTCTTGATTTGATAATTGTACTCCTTGGTTTCCAATTCCCAAATGGTGTCTATTCTTTTCCCTGTAATCTCCTCCAGCCCCTCAAATCCTCTGCAATACCTGTACTCGTCTAATGTGAATTAACAGATAACTGCAAGGACTACACTTTTCATTTCTGTGCTTGTTTCTTTAGCTACATGAAAGTGATTGGGAAAGGTATTCCTCTAATCACATTACTTAGCCTCAGTGAGTATTTTAACTGAAACAAAGAGAAGCTATTATTAAGTGTGTGGAGATGGATGGAGGTACACTTTTCGTAATACATTGATGATTAATATAGACTGTCTGTTAACCACTTTGGAAAATGTTCGTTCTAGAAACAGAATGCAACTCAAAACAACATTCAAATGTATAACATGCATTCCAAAACTATTTTCAGGACTTAGTTATATTATATCTTAAAACAAGGTCAAATGTAACAATATCGCGTTTGTCACATATAATGAGAGGTTGCCATAGCAGGAAACCATCTTCCATTTCATAGATTTGGAAACTAAGTTTGAAGCACCTAAGCCTCTTCAGGAGCAATATATATTTGATGCCTGTGTTCAGCAGTGAAACTCAAATTTGTCATCTGACATCTAGTTGCAGGCCTGAACAGAGTTATCTTCAGTAGGCATTCAGATATAGGGGAATGTCACTGCTTGCCGCTATACTGTCAAGTGGGAGCAGGGTTTGGTCTTTGTTTAAAATTCTCATCCAGCTGACAGTTGAGATTTAGTGGTGACAGAAGATCCTCTTCAGCATGTGCTCCTTCGCTGAAATCTTGATGAAACATTTCTAAGATTATCTTTCATACATTCAGAAAGTCAGTTATGTTATTAGCCTGTAAACAAATCTTACACTTTTATTGAACTCTGTGAACTAGTTGTGACGAAAATGCTTTGGATAAATGTTAGTACACAAGAAGTGAAAATTTATCCACCATGGTTTTTCTCAAGCAATGAAGTAGTAATTTTTAAATTTATTAAAGAAAATCTTTGCTTAACACAATGGGCTCATGTTAAGTGTATTGGCTTGGAAGATGGTTCCACTTGTTGCAACAGTAGGACCATAATCTCATAATGGCTCATAGTTAGATGTATCATCCTTCCTGTGCTTAAGAAAATGTCTGCAGGGTATTTGGAAGAAAATTAATAATGAGGAAAGACAGATTGCTTACCAAGGAGTAACATTCTTTGTTCTGCCATGTTTGTGGAAGAGGTCAGAAATCAAAAGATGTGGGTATAAATACACCTTCTAAGTCGTTGATCCCTTTTCCAATAAAAGCAAATTTCTATGACTCTAGATACTGTATGGAAGTTGACAATGACCATTCTCAATGATCTTGTCTCATTCATGCTATCTAATGCTTAGCGATAGATTTGGGATGCAAATGCTTATGCACCTGAATTGTTAATACAGGGTGATTTTTGGGTTGTATATGTAAATCAAATCCAGGGACATGCTGGACTGAACCAGAGTGAGACGCCCTGGAAGAGACAGTCTTACTTAGTCCAGAATCAGTTCAGGCCTTGACTGCACATTTACTCTACACTTGTTTAGTGTCATTATGAAGCAGTGACTGCTTTTTGACCTATAATGTAAATTCATCCTTTCTGTTTTTGTTGATTTAATCTACTTACTGATGCACAAACTGTTTTTGTTTTAAGCATCTTTTCTTTAAATGGTCAGGTGTGCGTTCCATTTTTTATATGAGGATCAACAATTATGATTGTTCTTGTTTTGGATTTAATTGACTTGATTTCTTTTAAAATTTTGCTGTCAGATGGAACATGAAGATGAGCCGAAACTTAGGCAAGAGGTAGTGTACGGACCACTGTGGACTGGTTTTTACTGTAGTTTATGTGAAACATTTTCATACCTGTTTTAAAATATTGTTCAAGCTAGAACACAACTAGTTCCTATTTATTTTTGAATGGAGAGTCATTCATCAAACTAAATATAGCTATAACATCAGATAGATCCAACTCATATATCCTTCAAGATTTATCACCTACACGATCCACAATATTTATTGCTCCCATTGAAATATTGAGTTACAATTCAAAACTGGAAATTGATGGTATGTTAGAGATTAAAAGACTGAATGATCTGTCTCGTTACTGAGCAGGAAAGTGGGTGATAATTTTCTTAATCATACTTTCTTCATTGTTGTCAGTACACTACCTATATGCTAACATACATTTCATGGGTTACCGTAATACTGCCAAAATGCTACAGAAGCTTTGTCTGTGGAAAGTAATTGATTCTTAACCATTGGCCATCTTTTACTGAAATTGTTTGTTTGCTAGACACTTTACATTGGAGTATAGCATTTCTTGCTTTTTACCTGCTTGTTGTGTGCCAAGTCCTTTGCCTTTGGTTTCTTTCGTGTTTGCTAATTCTTCATCTTGTGGGCTGCTTTTATCAACATTAAAAACATAGCATTTTCAGTTAGTTGCACTGTTACTTCGACTATATGAAAAATTCACATTCTAGATTGTGTAATAGTACTTTCTTGTTTATCAGGAGGTGTGGAAAGTGCAAATGTAATTTGATGTGGTGGAAGTTTGTTTTACATGAAAGCAGGGTGGGGTTATGTTGGATCACATTGTCTTGATTGATGCCAGGATGGTTAGAATTACTGCTGAATGTATAATATTTGATGCAGGAATTAGTACTATCTCTGTCAGAGAGGAAAGTGGGTGTTGAGGAGTTTTGTGCTAAATATATTTTAATACTCACATTTGCACTTCAACGGCCATAGAATTAACACTCTTAAACACTCCTTGATATCATACTTGTATATTAACAAGATTGATGTGCATATCAAGTGTTAACATCAAGGAGTATGTCAAATAAAAAGGAAAACAGATATTTTTTGACAAATTACTTACAATTTTTAAGACTATCCCAACATGAAATTGAGATAAATTGGAATAACTACAAAGTAATTCCAGGATAAGCACTGTTTGTTGCATTTGGTGAGGATACGTTAACAACATATATTTTGTAAGGAAATCAGGTCATATACATATTTAAACTAAACTACATTTTGTATTTGAACAAAATATTTACCACAAGAAAAGAAAACTGATTATCAATCTAATCACCTTTTTCTAAGATCCTAAAGTGAGTAAGAGCTGTCATCTCATTTGTCTGGAATTCTTATTTTTACTGCTATTTACTTACTGTCAATCCATTTATTTTAAGTGGTTAACACCTTCACTAATTCAATGTGGAGGCATTTCAGGCAAATATGTTAAGAAATGGATTTGTGGGTACTTCTTCCCTCTGGTTTAAACATCACTGATTAGCAATGTTGTTATGTCTAACACAACATTTATCTATCTTTTTTAATTGTGCTAAAGTTCCTGGACAAATCAGAAGATGTACTGTTGAAGCATCAAGCCAATATCAATGAACTAAAACGAACTTTACAGGAATCCACTAATATTAAGCTAAGTCATGGTGACCGGGAAAAGAAATTAACTACTTCCCCATCTTCATCGAAATCCAAAGACAAAGAGCAGGAGGAGTCACAGAAGCTCCAGCAGGTGGGTTTTGTTTATAAGCACATTTATGAAGTTGTAGGTGTGCTAGACCTGCCTACTTGGTTTTGGCTTTTAGTTCTCCGTTTGTTCGTTTGTCTGCTGGTGATGGCTATTTTTTTGGTCACAGTCGTGGTATAACTAAGAATGCTGTTGTTTTAAATTCTATTATACCACAGTTACTCATGTCCATGTTGAATTTGGTAAGATTTTGACATTATACTACACATAAAATAAAGCTAGAAGAGTTTGTAACATAGATCTTAGAAGAAAGTGCTTGCTTACGACAAAGGTGAGAGCACAGTTTCTTTTCCCCTGACAGCACTTTACTGTTTTATTCACTTTGCTCCAGCAAATGAAAGGGCTAGTTTTCTGTTTCCTCTTTCAACATTTTTATACATGCCATAGCCTGCACCAATCTTTGTCCAGATAATTGCCTGAAGCGTGTGCCTCTTTTTCAGGTGGCATGTCGATTTCAATTTGCCATGCAGGGTTCCAACCCCTCTTCCCAACATCCCCTTCCCCCAATCCATAGCCATTTTGCATTGAGTGCTGAGCAGAACTTGAGCCGTGAACATTCAGATCAAATCAACATGTAATAGAACCAGAGAGGTACAGACAAGGGGAGTTCAATTTTTTTTTGTGGACCCTGAAGAAACTGCATTCCTTTCCCACCCTGTGCTCCCAACATCCATCCCATCGCTTGCTGGTTCTGGAGGTAGCCCGATATTGACTGCATTACAAGGCCCATTTGGTATCTCACCTTATGTGAAGACAGCGCCTCTAAACTGTGCTTTCACCTTTGTTGTAAGCAAGCACTTTACAAACGAGTCACCAAAAAATCAAGTTCAACTCCCAAATGGCTGAAGCTTCAGGAAAATTCTTTCTCAGTAATTAGAAACTAACAAGCAAAGAAGAAAGGTGGATTATAATCATAATGTCTCTACCAGTATCTCAATAGATCTGTACTGTACATACCAATTTTCCTTATAGTACCATTTTGATGGTTTTAGTGAGAGTTGTGTCTTCCATTTGGAATTTCTGTATTATTGTCCTCTAACTAACAAATTTGTTGTTTAGCATTTATAACTTGTTCATTTTTTTTTAGAAAAAGAACGTAAGGTGCCCAGCATCCTTAGTTACAGAAAATTTGTAGATAGACATCATAGGACAGCAGCATACATGAGATTAAAAAAAATATGATGTAGGAGTTTTTATTAATGGATTGACCTATCCAGTGTATCTGGAGAGTAAGAAAATTGAGAAAGAAACATATAACTTGAGTGTGTTCAATCCTTCTGTAAATTAATACGATTATGATGCATACATTCATAAATTTGGACGGTGTCTAATGCAACGTACTAAATATTGTTCAATTATGGTAATTAAAGATCTGGTATTAGCAAAGGTGAGGTGACAGTCTCCAGTCTATTATTGCCACGAATAAATCATATAGATGCAAAGAACTATTTTAATTCATGATTTGCAATACAAGGAAAGCATGTGTGAGTGAAAGATTTTTCACAGCATTGTTGCACTTGTAACATTCTTTAAATGAGCATACTGAGGAAGGTTGCACCTTTACTTACGCATCCTCATTGTTCATTGTTCTTGTGTAGCACTACGGAGGTATTTTGTTTAAACTGTAACTTGCTAATAGATAGTTTGTATGTTTGCAACTGGTACAAATTCAGCAATGTTGATGGGTAAACACAAAAGAAAACAGCAGAAGCAGCATGTGTTTGTACGTTTGTTTATAATATGCCTTTTCTTTCACGATATCCTTTCCTTGTTTGGAGTCATTTAGTTGAGTTGAACAATGAGGCTTCATTTTGCCTTCTGTTTCTTCTTATTATGTCTTTGTTACTTTGTTATTCAGATGCCACATGATGCTAAAGGCCAAAAACCAAACATTAACACTTAATGTAATAATATTATCCTTGTAATTCAGGTTTCCTGAAGCAGCTGTTTGGTTAGAGTGGTTTGTATTAGGGTCTTACAATTTAATGTTTTAGAATTTATTACTAATGTTGACAAATTCTGTAACTATGCATCAGTCGGTTTTTTAGGTTTCATTTGGGTCTGAAGACAGATAACATATTCTTGCACCTAAAGACATTTCATTCATCTTTAATCTAATGAGAATATGTCATATTCTGCATGTTCTACACAATCATTCTTAAAATTAAATTCAACTTAATAAAAATAGGTCATTTCAACCATACTAAAATAATGCTACCACCTGTGAACTGTTGACTAGTTGAGGAAATTTAATCACAAGTTTTCCTCACTTACTATTTAAATGTATGTGTTCCTAGGTGAGAAATAGATGTCTAAAGCATTAGCTGTGCTGCATTTGACAAATGTAATCCAATAATCACTGATATTGGAATTTATTGAATGTAGAAAATGCCTCAAAAGGGTCTTCCATCTCTTGAATTACATTTTATGTGAGCTCCATAGGTCAAGTTCCCTCACAATTATTTTCTGTTTTCTTTGGTGCAGGCTCTGTCTGTCATTTTTCTTAACTACCATTTTTCATTGCGATAAAACTTCTGTGAGAATTTTTGATGTGTGGCTTACTGTTGTAGACACCAGATGGTTATTCTGAAAATGGTGTAATTTAGAAGCAGTAAGGAGGCTTGATGCAAGACTCTTTCCACATTGCATTTGCTGCCGTGCTGTGCAGACCTGTTGTGCAGATGGAAGCTTGTCTGGTTTCAAGGAGATCTGAGTTCTAATGCAGGGCAGAGTTAGAATTTTCAGAGAGCTATTTTTAGCAATATCTGGTGACTATCTGGTTGCCGTGGTTCTTGTTAAAGGATGGAGGGTCTGCTGGGAGCTACAAACAGTTGGAAGGGCAGGCAGGTGTTAATTAAATACGTACTCATGAATTGCTCTGAGCTGTCGGGAGTGAACATGATTTGGTTTGAAATTTAGTCCTTTCAGTGCATGAAGATATTTAATTATTTGAAGATGGTTGCTATAAATCACTACATTAATTAATGCATATGCATCAAAACTTACAAAAAATAAGAAAACATCTTATCCTATTTAAGAAAATTAAAGTTGAATAGAACACAAGTTAGAAAAGCAATCACTAGGGAGACAAAATGATGCTAATTAACTCTGCAGTTTACAAACTTGATAACATGATTGTATATTACACATCTTAACAGTGGACAGTGTTTGGCAACATGCAAGCAACTTAGAAATCTGAAAGCTCTACCAAAGTATCTTTACACTAAAATGTAAAGTATGAACAAGAAACTAACACGTTTATTATTTGTTTATTATGTAATATATTCTGGTATATCAGCTAATTAACCTTTCTAACAGTCTGCGAGAGCTGAAGAGGAGGCGAAGGAAGAGCCTGCTTCTCAAGTGGGTGCCATTGCCTTATCTCTGGAAGCTTCAGCAAAGAAAAGCCTTGCATCTTCTCCTGAGGTTGACATTTTCAGTTCTACATTTGATTAAAATTGAATTGTAATTTAAATAAGCACAATAAATTGATGCTGATAAGTCATTTTAAATGGCAGAACTAACGTTAGTGGATGAAATTATTGTTAGCTAATTTGTTAATATTTTCGAAGGTAAATGTTGATTATAAAGAGAAAATGTGCATTAAATAGTTAAGCATAAAACATTAATAATAGTGTTAGAAATGTTTGCTCTTGTAATCTTAGTAATTCACCCATTTATAGAGCTCATTTTTTTCCCGTAGTATTTTGTATGTTGGAAGATTCTAAACCTTATGTCCATATTATAAATATAACTTTTCATATTGTTACAAAAATGTGTATGAGAAAGTTTCACATCATCTAGTTATGAGAACTTTTTACTTTATAATAATCTAGAAAAGTGAAGTGCATGTCTGTTGCAATGTACCTGTTCATGCATTACTGTGATGTTGACAAGTTTCTATATTTGAAATGTAGGGCTCTGAGGAATGGGTTATAATAGACAGACGTGCTTCTAGGCTAGAAGAACTAGTTGTAGTTGAAAACAAAAGTGACAGAACAGAATCCAAAGAAGAAGAAGCAGTTGAGGCTATATCACTTGTTTGTGACAAAAGGCAAATTGTATTAGAACTATCTTCTCCTGAAATGGAGCTTATTAAAGAAGAATTTCACAAAGATGAGTCATGCGAAGAAGAATCTCCAGAGCTTGAAGAGATTTGTGCTGCATCAGCCACTCAACAAGAAGATGCTTCAAAAACTGATTCGGAGAAAATGACAATAGCTCCTCTGTTGAATAGCACACAGTTAGTGGAGTCAGATGAACAAAAGATTCCTGAGAGATACCCAACTGAGCCTGAAGAAGTCCTAACTGAGAAGCTTTTAGATAAAGAGCAGGTAATCTCTGAAACTAAAGCACTTTCTGACAAAGCTGTTATCATCACCAAATTTCCATTAGAACAAGATTCAGTAAACACTGGAAAAGGACTATCTTCAACTAAAGAAATGTTGAACTCTTCAAAATCCGATTCCAAAGCACCTGGAGAAATGGAGTCTACGTTGTCTTTACCAACGGATGGAGAGCAGTTTAAACTTATTTCCTCTGGAAATGATGAAGCCAAGTCTAAAGGGCATAAAAAAGACTCCAAGCCACCATTCCCACAGGATAATAACAATAAATCCAAATCAGGTTCTCCAATAGCTGACCAAACGTTAGATCCAGGAGCTCAGGTAGGCCAGCAAGAAGTAGGAAAGATAGATTCCCAAACACATGAACAAGAGAAGAAAGAGAAAATCAAAACAACTTTCCAAAATGATCAAATGCCAATTCACTTTGTGATCAACAATGGCAAATCACAGTCAAATGAAGAGAAGATATCCAAGTTAAATTTCTTAGAGAAACAATACACAACAAAAGTGGCTGGCCAAGAGGAGTCTAAGTGTATTTTTGAAGAGGAAATAAAATGTGAGTCCAAATTCATTCTCCCAGTGGTCGAAAAGGAAGCTCAAATAACACCAACTGAATACAAAAGTATTTTGCATTCGGATGTTATTGAAATTTATAAAGTTAAAGAACAATCAAAGCCTTATCTTTTTCAAGACCATGCCAATGTGTCGCAGCCATGCACTACAAGATGGGACAAAAAAGAGTCAAGGGACATCGCAGAAAAAGAATCTGAAGAATGCCTTCTATCAATTGATTCAGAGGTTTCAAAACTGTGTTCCACAGGAGAGCATGAAGCATCAAGGCTAGAAGAGGATGAAAGCGAGCCGAAGCCCTGTACCACAGAAGATAGAAGCGAGCCACAGCCGTGTACAGCGCAGGATGGAAGCGAGCCACAG